GGTCCGTGAGTTTGACACCCCTGCCGTAAAGACAGTAATAGCAACAATATATTAGATAGAACACATCAACATTTTCCAAAATACATTACATTTAATAATAATAATAATAATAATGCATTACATTTNAATGGGTCCATTTGGGTATGGGCACGTCACTGTACCCAGGAAGAAAAAGAGAAATCTCAAACGAGGCATTCTAGGGCAGCATAGACAGGTATTTTCTGTGTTAGAGTTTTACTCGCTACAGGGTGTACTTTGAGGGTTTGTGACTTTGCAGACCGTTTACATGCATAAAAACCTTCATAACACACAAGGAGACAGGTAATAACCGGAAAAGCATGACATGGGACCTTTAAATGAGAGCTTCCTCCATCACTGATTTTCTGATTGGTCACATCGGTTACATTAATAATCCTAGATCCAAGCTATTTAGCTATCATAAGCCTCACCGTTGCCTTCTTTACATTCCCAATAATTGTCATCTGAAAATGTTAATCTTTGTCACAGGTGTTAGAATTATTTAAACTGAATAAATACCTTCCAGAGAATCAGATTTTGCACATGGTTGAAGTGGGACACCTGTAAAATGTTTGTCGTGTTTTCTGGGTGTACAGATTTCCACGGAAGAGGTCAGTGGTCATCAAAGGGAGGCCTGCAAAGAAACATCCACAAACTCTGGACCCCATTTTCATGGTATGTAAGAGAAGGGACATTGAACACAACTGTATGAAAGATATGCTCTGAATTTGTATGTACGTGAGTGGAAATAAATGCTAATTGCCATATTAGAGATTCAAATACAAATTCAAAGGCAACTGAATTGTCTGTTTCTTTTGTTTTGGTTACTCTAGTCCTTTTTCCGTTTAACTGTCTTGACAGTGCTTCACATTCAAAACACTTTCACCACATATTCAGTGCATCACAGGCAGTTACAGTTCACTTATTGGCGAAGCTCCAAGTACGTGATAGGCCAGAGTGCAGTTAGGATATTTGCTGCAAGTGTTACCTGAAGGACGCAGGTGTACCTGCAGGAACAATTGTTTACCACTTGAACACAACATAGCAGACGTTAAGCTATAGATTCACGAACAAATCTTTATATTTGAATGACTTCACTTTCCAGCTTCTTGAGGAGAACATTGTGACATTTGTGAAGAAGGAGTTGAAGAAGTTCAAGCGAGTTTTAGAAAGTTCAGAACGCCTAGAGGGGCTGAAAGAAGAGGATGATTCTCTGGAAGGTGAAGACGAAGAGCAGGGAAGCAGCAACAGAGATGCATTTCTGACACTCACACTCAACTTCCTGAGGAACATGGAGCAGGAAGAGCTGGCTGACTCTCTACAGAGCAGTAATAAACGTTTTTCAATTACATAACAGTCATTTAAATATGGGATTTTACTGGTAGATCTTTGAACTCAATATCTGATGTTTGAAATTAGTCTAATATCTGAATTAGTTGTTCAAATGTGAGTTTATTGATGTGAACATGTTAACCATAACATTTAATGACTGATGTTTTCTGATTTGTTCTCAGGAAGTCTTATTTCGATTTGCCAACGTAAAGTGAAGTCTAAACTGAAGGAAAGGTTTCAGTGTTTGTTTGAAGGAATTGCTAAAGCAGGAACCCCAACATTTCTGAATAGTATCTTCACAGAACTCTTCATCACAGAGGGGGAAGGTACAGAGGTCAATGATGAACATGAGGTCAGACAGGTAGAAGCTGCATCCCGAAAATCAACCAGTTCAGAAACAACAATTAGACATGAGGATATTTTTAAACCTTTACCTGGAAGAGAGACACCAGTCAGGACTCTGGTGACAAAGGGAGTGGCTGGCATTGGGAAAACCGTCTTTACGCAGAAGTACATCCTGGACTGGGCTGAAGGCAAAGCCAACCACAATATACAGTTTATCTTTCCATTCACTTTCAGAGAGCTCAATTTGCTGAAAGCAGAAAAATACAGCTTGGTGGAACTTCTTCATCACGTCTTTACTGAAACCAAAGAAGCAGGAATCTGCAGGTTTGATGAGTTCCAGGTTGTGTTCATCTTTGACGGCCTGGACGAGTTTCGACTTCCCCTGGACTTCCAAAACAATGAGATACTCACTGATGTTACAAAGCCAACTTCAGTTGGAGTGCTGCTGACAAACCTCATTAGAGGTAAGTTGCTTCCCACTGCTCGCCTCTGGATAACAACACGACCTGCAGCAGCCAATCAGCTCCCTCCTGAGTGTGTTGACATGGTGACAGAGGTGAAAGGCTTCAATGACCCACAGAAGGAGGAATACTTCAAGAAGAGATTCAGAGATGAAGGGCATGCCAGCAAAATCATCTCCCACGTCGAGGCGTCAAGAAGCCTCCACATCATGTGCCACATCCCAGTATTTTGCTGGATCACTGCTACAGTTCTGGACCACGTCTTGAAAAACAGAGAGAGGGCAGAGCTGCCCGAGACCCTGACTGAGATGTACATCCACTTCCTTGTAGTTCAGACCAAACAGTGGAATGTAAAGTATCATGGAAGTGCGGCAACAGATCAAGTCTGGACAACAGAAACCAAGGACACCGTTCTCACTCTGGGGAAACTGGCTTTTGAGCAGTTGGAAAACGGAAACCTCATCTTCTATGAAGCAGACCTAAAAGAGTTTTGCATTGATATAAAAGCTGCATCAGTCTTCTCAGGAATTTTTACAGAGATCTTCGAAGATGGCTTTGGACTGAACCAGGACAAGATGTTCTGTTTTGTCCATCTGTCCGTTCAGGAGTTTTTTGCTGCACTCTATGTCTTCCTGACATTCAGCAACACTGGCATTGATCTCCTGAAAAAAAGGCGATTCCCCTCAGTGCAGAGTGTGCCATTACAACGTGATTTTCACTTCACTCTCTACAAGACTGCAGTGGACAAGGCTTTAGAAAGTCCAAATGGACACCTAGACTTGTTTGTCCGCTTCCTTCTGGGCCTTTCACTGGAAACCAATCAGAAACTCCTACAAGGCTTGCTAAAAAAAGGGGAAAGTAAACAAGAAGTCAAAGGGAGGCTGGTGCAGTACATCAAGAACAAGATCAAGGACAGTCCTCCAGAGAGGAGCATGAATCTCTTCCACTGTCTGAAAGAGTTGAACGACAGTTCACTAGTGGAGGAGATCCAGCAGTACCTGAGATGCGGGAATGTCTTTGGAAAGAATCTCTCGCCTTCACAGTGGTCAGTGCTGGTTTTCATCCTTATGTCATCGCAAAAGGATCTGGACGTACTTGACCTGAGGAAATTATTTTCTTCTGAGGAGGGTTTTCAAAGGCTGCTGCCAGTTGTCAAAGCATCCAACGTCGTTCTGTAGGTGTACAGATACACAATAGAATACATTTGTTGCATATAATAATTAATGTGGCTGAGGACGAGGACACACATTACACTCAAAGTACTCGTTTTATTTTTCAGGTTGAGTGGCTGTAACCTCTCGTCGAGAAGTTGTGAAGCTCTGGTCTCAGTTCTCACTTCCAAGAACTGTAGCCTGAGAAAGCTGGACCTGAGCCACAATGACCTGCAGGATGGAGGAGTTATGCTGCTCTCAGCTGGACTGAGGAGTTCACACAGTAGACTAGAGATTCTTGGGTCAGTATTTCTTGACTCAATTTACTCTTAAATAGATTGATAACCGAGCATGGATTTCACAGTGTTGTTGGAAAACGTGTTTGTAAATGTAATTGCAGGCTGTCAGGCTGCATGGTCAGAGAGAAAGGCTGTGAGATTCTGGCTTCAGTTCTGAAGTCTAACCGCTATCTGAGAGAGATGGATCTGAGCTACAACCACCCTGGAGACTCAGGAGTGGCCCAGCTACATGCTCTACTGGATGACCCATGCTGTGAACTGGAAACTCTCAAGTAGAGTAGATTATATTTATTGTACAGATACATCTTGCCTGTCGTATACGTGCAGATGTAGTGTTTGTGTTCATTTGTCTTTCTCTGTCACTCACAATTCTCTTCCTTTTCCACAGGATTGACCATTGTGGAGAGCTTCGGCTGAAACCGGCACCTCTTAGGTGTAAGTGGCATTTTTACTTGGTCGCTGATCTGTCCAAAGGTAGCATAATACGTCTTCCAGCAACTCCAATGCTTACAAAAATAAATCATATCTCATGGTTTAATCCGCACAAAAAACAAATAGTAAAACAACAACATCGCCCCGCACTAGCTCGTGCAGGCGTAATGATATCTTACGATTTATCACCAACAAACTACAAAAAAAGTGAAAGTATTGTATAAGGTGACGTTGCATTGAACTTCCTTTAGCCTGGCACTATTCTTAATGAGTTTTTCCTGTACCAATCAGTAGTGAAGGATGTATCTGTCAAACCCATGTCATTTTTAGTTGATGTAAAAGCTGGAGTAGTGGCTGGAGGGGTAGTTAACTTACAGTTGTGTTATATGTCCTCTGTCAGATTTCTGTGACCTTTCTCTGGACCCAAACACAGCAGAAAGAAACCTCTTCCTGTGTGACAACAACAGAAGAGCGCTGGTGGTGAAAGAGAAGCAGCCGTATCCTGATCATCCAGAGAGATTCGACAGCTGGAAACAGGTGCTGTGTAGTGAAGGTCTGACTGGGCGCTGTTACTGGGAGGTCCTGTGGAAAGGAAGGGTTCATATAGGTGTGACATACAGGGGAATCAACAGGAGAGGTGACAGCGATGACTGCTGTATTGGATGGAACGATCAGTCCTGGAGTCTGCTCTGCACCGATCAGAGTTACACGGCCTGGCACAGTAACACACCTGAAGACACAGAAAAAGCCCCCTGCGGCAAGAAGGTAGCAGTGTATCTGGACTGGCCTGCTGGCACTTTGGCCTTCTACTGTCTCCCCTCCATTTTCTCTTCAGACAAACGGATCCACCTCTTCACCTTCCACTCAACCTTCTCTGAGCCCCTCTACCCCACGTTTGGGTTTGGACGAATGCGTGAGGGTGCAGAGGATTCAAGATCCCCACATCCCTCAGTTTGTCTGTCACAGATTGAACAATCCCCTCCTGTGTAGAACAGTAGTTCCCAAACTGAGATGTCTTAAGACAGTACCTTAAGAAGAACAAATTGTGTAGAAAAAGTTACCTTTAAAGCTGAAATAATTAATATGAGCTCACGGAAACATGAGCCAGTCAAAAGATTTTTAAAGTAAACTTTAAAGGAAACTCTTGGCATGTGGCATGTTGTGGATATAAACAAATAATGTGGCAATGCTAAGTTAAAAAGCTAAAGAGATACAAATCCTATTCTTAAGCCAATATAGATGGTAAAAAGAGAAGCCAAGATAAGATACGCTTTATACAAACATGTGTGCACATACACAAATAGCATTGAACTGTTCAAACTACAATGACAATAACAGAGTTGACCTGGTGGGTGTAATTGGAAGGGTCGGTGAAGGTTTGGGTGAACCACTTATTAAGGGGGTCTGGTTATGGGTAATATCATTCTTGAAAACAGTGTATTTAAAAGAAAGGCAAGGAGGTATATTTGTCCCAATGTATTTAAAGGTCCTGTATTATGCAAAATGCACTTTTTAATTGATTTAATATATATATATGTCTCCCCTGTGAAAAGACACAAAACGTTTCAGATTTTTTTTTTTGGCTCTTTCCCTCCTGATCCAAGCGTGTAGGGTGAGTTAGGTTTCAGGTTCATACGTGACGTCAAATTAATCTTTGACGTCATTTGTGGGTTGTACGGCATGAGCAACAAACCAACCACTGTAAGCCCCACCCACCCTCTTAACTGAATCACAATCCAAACCAATTCACTTTATTTATATAGCACATATTAAAATCAGAGGGTTTACCGAAGTGCTTCACAGCAAACATAACGTTATAATAAAATATAATATTACAATAATAGATAAAAGGCACACATAAGAATAGATAAAAGGCATATAAAGGCTATGGACAGACAATAAAAGCATAAAAATCGATAAAACATAGCTCAAACTGACTCGAAAGCGAGGGAAAAGAGGTGGGTCTTCAGGCGGGACTTAAAAGTTTGAAGGGTGGGCGACAATTTAACATGGGGGGGGCAGGTCGTTCCAGAGCCTGAGAGGGCTCGGTCCCTCCTGGTCATTTTCTTGGTTTTAGGGACTACTAGCAGCAGCTGATCAGCCGACCTCAAAGCCCTTGAGGGGGTGTACACCTGAGGAGGTCGGAGATGTACAGAGGGGCCAGCCCATTAAGCGATTTAAAAACAAACAATAACATCTTAAAATGAACTCTAAAATGGACACCTTGTGGGTTCCTGTAAGCAGCCGAGCCGCAGCGTTTTCTACCAGCTGCAGGCGTGCCAGCGTGGTCTGGTTCCCCTCCCGCAGCACCTCTCTGTGTCTGTGCATTTTTGGATGAAACAGAGGGGTTTATGGCTTGCTATGATTCATAATCTATTTTGGTATTTTGAGTCAAAGACATGTTTTGTATATATCTGACACCTATAATATATTGTTGAAATACACTATGTGACCTCGAAATTATGGCAATTGTCCTACCAGCTGGCCTTCAATACTTAGGAGCTGGAAAAGAGGTGGTTGTGATTTAGAGCGATGCATGTAAAACAGAATCAGTGCATGTTATACACTATATTATTATATAAACTCAAATGTGTTTTTAAAATTGAATAAATATCGTTTATTTTACCTTTTTGCATTCTTAATTTGTATGTGTCTTATGTTAAGTTCAATATTGATCTAGAAATCTGCACAGCAACTACAATCTATCTATTCAGTTTCATCAGAGCTCTTTACATGATTGTATATGTGATATTATGTCTTTGTTTTTGTTTTTGTTTTTTGAGGCTATAGTTTCCCTTTAACCCAGCAGGGTGAGCTTAACTTTGCTGTTTATTTTTTTGTAGAAAGAGAACGGCTATTATTGATATGATCTTGTTGTGTGGAATTAGTTTTCAGAATATAAATGGCATTGTAAACTGTCATTGTAGATGTTGTCTATATTTCTTAATACATGCATGTGTGTATGTACAAGGAATACACAATGCATAGGCAAGTGGTGACTTTATTTATGACCACAGCATGTACAGTGAACATTTACGTTGCATGTTGATTAACAACCGAATGCCTTAACACGTAACACTTCACACGTCACCGGGTGGCGCACCAGCTAAGGTGGCCTGCAAAGGACAAACTTAATCATATGAGAATGATCTACATCCCTTCTCTTTAGCTGATGTTTCTATCTGAAAGTAAATAACATTTAAGGATGATGATATTGAACATTTCTTTAGCATTTGGTGACACAAACAATAAACCATTACTAAAGTATTGTCCAACAGTGTTACTGCACATATTTAGGGTTTGGTTTGCATGTGCGACATGATCGTGTTATGTATGGTGTGTCACTGTTGTTGCAAGGGAAATGTGATGTGTGTCTTGGTAGTGAATGGGGAACTGTTCTGTGTCAGCCTCAGTGGCGTCGCCTGGCCTGGGCATTCGGGGCCCACAGTGGCGGCGGCCGCGGCGCAGTGGAATTTTCTACTGCAACACTCCCCACACGCACACACAGTACACCCACGACTATGTTACAATGCAGGCTCGATAATCAGCTCACGGCATATAGGCAGGGGTAAAGTGCTATTTTTTATCCTCTAGGGGGGTCCGGGGGATGCTCTATTTAAAATATTGAAGTTAAAAGCATCAATCTGGTGCACTTTGAGAGCAACATTAAGAGATCTATGGATACATCTCTGAACACCCGAAACAGAACTGTGAACAGATTTTCTTTTTCTTTATGGATATTTTACAAATCACTCCCCTTTTAAACTCTATTCTTGTTTTACTGCCATATAGACTATAATGATCATATGAAGGTGTGCCGCGGAAATAATCTTTTGAATAATTTGTGACCAAACCGTTTGAGACCCACTGAGATAACGGTGCATTCACACCAGCCTTTAATAGTCCGGTTGAATCTAACCCCGGTGCGTTTAGCCGCTTGGTGCGGTTCATTTGGGTCGGTGTGAACGCAGTCCGAGACCTCTGAAGTGAACGAAACAACCGGACTCTGGTCCGCTAAAATAGGTGGTCTCGGAACGCTTGCTTGCGAACTCTGGAGNTTTTTATTAGAGCGCTTTTACAGGTGCTCAAAGCGCTTTACAATTACACATTACACATGTAACGGCCCGTCCACACACAGGCATGAAAAAAATCTTTCAAAGCTTCGCCCATTCACTTGAATCGGGTGACGTAGAAGATTTTTGATCTTCGCCGAACTGCATTGTGGAGCATGGCTTTGCAAGCATCGTGAGCATCAAAAGTTGAGCAATGTTCAACTTTTGATGCTCCCAATGCTTGCGAATCAAATCCCAATTATGCAAATCCCGCCAGTGCAAGCGCTAGCCAATCAAACCGCGTGTACTGTATGCAGATACCGCTGCGGTCTTTTCCATATGTCATAAAATGGAGGATAAATTAATAATCGCTGTAGGAAATGTCCCGGTCCTTTACGACTGCTCTCTGTTCACCTACCGGGACCTAAACCGGAGGAACCAGGCATGGAGGGAGGTGGCAGAGACAGTTGGTGAAACTGGTAGGTTTTCACCTGTTTGGGGAGTTTATATCCAGTTTACTTCATTTTAACATTGAATGGACAGGCTTTGTATGCCGGGGGCAGGAGGGAGATTCCTGGGAGATTCCTTATTGGTTGTTGGTCGCCTTGGGCGCGTGAAATCGCCAAGCTTAAGACACGCCCAGCATCAAGATTTTTCAAGATTTTGAAAAAAATCTTGAAAAACATTACCCACAGGAGCAAATGCGGGTAACGTGTCTTGCCAAAGGACACAGCGGCCTGACGCAGTGGCGGCCGAGGCGGGATTCGAACATGGAGTTCACCAACGCCTCTTGATCTGATGACCAACGCTCTAACCACTGCGCCAAAACAGCCTCCGGTCACATAAACACAACACATGAAAACGAGGTCATGGAAAACTGACAATAAGCAAAAGGCCATACTGTAGAGAACAAGAATCGTGAAAAAAAATTGTATATGGTAAAAGGTTAACAATACAGTAAAAAGTTAGTAAAATTGTATTATGTCATAACTTAGTTTTCTAGCATACAGTCAGACTCAAAATCCAACATATAATTGGTCAAAGCTCCCATACACTAAACAGGAAGATTGTAACAGTGAATTCACTCTCTGGCTCTGGTCCATTAAGAAATGTTGGTACTTTATTAAAATGACATCTTTAAAGAGTGGGGGTGGTGAAGAAAAAGTATTTTTATAACAAAGACATGATAGCTGTGACTTTGACTGCTGTTTAGGTTTAGCATTCATGCCCCCATCCCGTCTCTACTGTCTTCACATTCCCTCTTTTTTCCCCCCCCATCTTTACTCTTCTTAATCATTTTATTGCCGTCATTATCTAGAGTAATCTCTGCCCACATGCTCCTCTGCCCATTGGTCGTCTGTGGATCCCGCGGCCAGCTGGGTTTCAAGAGCATTTGGAGGTCAACGAAAAATACCCCATCTCTTTTGGGTACACAGGAACACTCATCTACCACTGACACATATTGCATTGTCATGGGGAATTAAATGAGGAATGTATGCACTATTTGAGGATTTATAGTAGTGGCATCAGAAATACAAATATACACCACTGTGACCTTCTTAGTCCCTGGATGAAATATATATGCATTAACGCAATTGGTCTAATAATTCAAGTGTATGTTGCAGCAGTATATTTAAGATTACATCTTCACCATTAATTATGTGCAATGCATGGTCAACTGTTTTTTCATTGGACACATTTTGTTGAGAGCTATGCTTTAGCAGAATGCATGTGCCACACAGTAAGAAGCCAAATAACTAGCTTTGGTGACATTAGCTGCTATTCCAGTTCTTTGTTCGTTTTTTTAACAAACAACCTCATATTTCTATTGACCATGTGCTAATCCCTGCCCCTCTTGGCAACCGTTGCTAAAGCTTTCACTTCTCTCAGCAGACACAGGTATGCAAGGGATAGAGTGCAGCGAGGAGGTCATTAATGAAAAAAGAACACAGACACCCTGAAGGTGATTCGATTACACGGCTCCCTAATACGTAAACCAACTACTTTACTCACAACATTGACTTAAAATGATGTTATTGATTTAAGAATGATCGTTTTGCTTCCGCTCAGAAAAAAAATGGTCCGTTCCACTTCGTACCAACAGCTGGAACTGGGGCGATAGCAACGTGACTTCAAATTACACCAAGACTGTTTATTTTCTATTATACGGTCTTTAAACTCTGCCAGAAACCATACTGTGTTCCTGTTAGTGTTTACTTCCTGTCTGTCTTCTTCTCTTGATTTCTCGGACGTCCAGATCTCTGTCTTTCAACCTCTTTCCTTCTCTTGTTCTCTTATTCTTTTCTTTGCTGTGGACAGCTCAGCCATGACCAAAGTGTCAATAATAAAATGAATATTTAAAAAGTATTGCATGGGGTTTTCTGATAGCGAAACCATTTTTTTGTTATCTACAGCTGACATTAAATTGACCAGACTTCTCTCTGCAAATTCATATAA